CGTGTCTTATGGCCCAGAAACCAGATTTTGAAAAGAAAAGACACAAACGAAAGGTGCGACTTGGTAATTTAATAATATATAAAAGACAACAATTAGTGCCAAAAACATTGGTTACTTTACCAGATCAAGGTCGGTGTTAGAATGTCTTTTTTTGAAAGTAGTTGACATTGTGAGGCTGTTAATCAGACGAGCCCACATGCTCGCCTATGACCCATGTGAAAGCTGTCAGCGCTAATGCGCTGGATAAAGTTATATTGGTAATATTTAAGATACACCTCTTGACAGCTGCATGCCGAAATCGACAATGGGACCGAGCTTATAAAATGAACATAAATTAAGTTAAAATACATATGCAGCGACTGACCAAATGTGGAGCATATAAAATAAATATAAATATTCAAATGACAAGCCATGATCTGCAGCGTCATAGACTTTTATGACGAGCATCGACTCGAATGGAGACCGAACAGGAACGAGTATTGAAAGTGCAAACACATTAAATGTAGCCCCAAAAAGATATGCTGTACCCATGACCTTCAGACAGACCTGTCGCAACCACAATATTTAGGTCAATTATTTTTAGCCGGCAACGGCAGCTGAACGTGCAGCAAGTGTCTGCTTTTCATGTGAGTTTAATGCGCCCAAAGTCGGGATTGATGGGTCCAACTAAACAGTGCCCAACCGGCCGGTCGGTTGCTCCAGCGGAAGCCACTTAGGCAGCATCGGCTGCGCAAGGAAGTGTGCCGAGAATCGTAACAAGTTTTTCTTTCATTTAAAGTCAGCCAAGCGGCAGACGGCACCCGACCAGTTGGAGCCGAACAGCCGGTTCCGACAAAAGGCAAAAAGGCAAAACAAAAAAAGAAAAAGGTAAAATCATATAAAGTAAGAAGATTATGTTGCCTTTAAGCTCAACTCTGCCTTGCACTGCCGGGGCACTCCTGACTCTGTGCCTGCCGCATGCCCACATGTACGAATACGAGTATTTATTAAAAGCATTCACAAATCTTTTAAATGGAACAGCATGTAGCTGATGCTTATTTCGGTGATTCGCTTTGGTGGTTCATTCGCGCTAGTGATGCACCACTAAATCACGCCAACCGGCAGATTGAGAGTGCTGCAGATATCTTTAAGAGCTGGCAGGTATGTCGGAACAGGAACAGGTAACATGGGTTCTTATTAAATACACCTTTTGCTTTTGGCATCGTAACTTATTGGATTTTACAAGGATGTCCATATAATATTGAAAAAAATCAATATTTATCTAGCTGTAGAACTTTAGCTTACATATCCATAACCTGCCTAGCTGGGCCGAATTTCAAGGAACACCCTCTCATAATTATTATCACAACTTAAGAATTAACTATCAATGTTATTTAAAAATTATTTAATTTATCCAATTTACTAATTAACGATTGAGGAAACCAATCAGCTTAATTTATTTGCATGCATGTGAAAATTAGCCATTCGTTTAATTTTCAATTAGCACAAACTAATTGAAACTAGGTTATATGGATTGATTACTCGTGACTGGACATTCGTGAGACACGAGGTGCATTAAAGATGCAATATAACCAAAACATAACCCAAAACATGCCCAGCCCTGGCGTATGCGCAATATTTGTAGCCAGTCAAACGTCGACACATGCTGTGGCAAGGTCATTCCAGGCTATTTTGTGGACCTTTGGTTTTTGGGGAACGCTTTGTGATTTTGTAATAAATGAATGCGCTGATATTTAATCGACTTTTTAAGTAGTTTGTATCATTTATAATCAACTTATGGATATGATTTATTGTACGTTCTAGGGATATGCTGTTGCCTTAAAGTAGAATATAGGTAAAAGCAGCTCTTTAAAACTATTTCATAAACTATTTGCCACATAGAAACATGTGCATGAAATATTTGTTATGAAGCTGAGCGCGGAGACTTGGAATGTGCTAATGAAATAATTATCCGCCAAAGGTTAACAATTTGAAGAACTTGGAAAACCGGCAAAAAGTCAAACAAAAGCCGCACAAGCATACAGTTTATACAATTTATGGACGCAATTCCCCAAAAAAATAAAAAAAAAAATTGTACCAGCCGAGCCGACATCATGTATGTGTGAAATTCGTGGCAGGGCCGACGATGAATATGGCGATATGGATGTCTTTCGAGCGCCGCAGTTCAGGTTCAATGCTAAAAACCATAAAACTTGTTGCTATGTTTTTTTGTTTCCTTTTTTTTTGGCTGGTAATTGGTAAAGTGACTATAAATGGAGGGGTACTCGATTTCAGCAGTATTCATTCTCACATCGACCGCAAAGTGACAACAAGCACAGATCCCAGCCCAACATGAAATTCGTGAGTATACAAGCTCGGAGCATTTGAAGGAGTCATTTTTACAAGCAACCTTCCGCCTTAGTTCATCCTAACCGCAGCAGTCATCCTTGCCGTCGCCCAGGCACGGCCAGACTCCTTCGATGCCCAGGCCGAATTGCGTGAGTTCAAAAGCGACCTTAAGGAGGACGGCAGCTACGAGTATCGGTTCCAGACTTCGAATGGCATTGCCCAACAGGAGCAGGGCGTGGGCGGTCACTATGCGAGCGGCTCATCGGCGTATTACAATCCCGATGGTCAGCTTATTCAATTGACATACACGGCCGACGAGAACGGCTTCCATCCACAGGGCGCTCACCTGCCGACGCCTCCACCGATTCCGGCTGCCATACTCAGATCGCTGGAATATATTCGCACCCATCCGCAGAAGGATCAGCGACAGGGTCATGTGCGCTTCTAAGTGTCGCCCTTGCAACTATCCTAGTTTTCATTAATTCTTACAATTTTAACTTTTTAAACATTCTGGAAGCGTTAAGCTGTCTACAGGATAACCACGTTGTACCAGCTTATTTTTGAGCTGCCTGGAAATAAATAACATCTTCCATTACTTTGTATTGTTTAGACAATTTCTATATGATACAACTTAACTAAATCCCAGTTAATAGCTCCAACTATGGCATTTCCATATCTGGAATTTTAACAATGCTATTGTTAGTTGTCTCATCCGAATGACGAGTCAAATCGTAAAAGTAGTTTAATTAGCATGCAAATTTCGGCACATTGTAAAGAAGAATGGCTTATAATAGGACAGTTTTCTTATAGTTCGCAATGCTATAAAATTGATGAGGTAAGTGTTTATTGCAGCTCGGCTTCCTGGTTAAGCCAAACTAGTTCTATATGTCAAGCGCTTGAAGTCAAAATTTAAATGTTAAAAGTCGAATGCATATTTCCCAGACAATGTCTCGTATTTCATTTAGTGCATATGTTTAAAAAATAGTAGCTTAAATATGCCAATAAATAAACATTAGAATCTTGCTTTCCTCAGACAAAAGAACCGTAAATATATTTTGTGTTTATTACGCCAATAATAACATTTAAAAATAGCATTTAGAAATTGGGTTTCAATCTACACCGGGCTACAAACTCATCCAAATCAAAAGAGCCTCTACATTTACGTAGACAGGGTACATGTTCAGCGCATGTGCGGAGCAAACTTAACAAATAAAACGTATTTTGAAGTATGACCCTACTATGCGATTCTCAAAGCTCAAATGCTTTTTTTGTCATATACTGACTTGATTTGATAAGAAGATAAGAATATAATAAGCTCTCATTAGATACGTATTTATATGCATGTGTTTAAATATGCATATAATGTATATTTATATTTGTGCTCAAAAATTATATTTCAATCTACGCTCAGCTATGAACTCAAGCATATGAAAAGACTTATTGCCTTGTGGAAAAAATGGTATAATTTGTATATTTAAATTTGAGCATTTTTTTAAAGAACTACACATTTTGTAAGATAGTGTTATTTTGACTTGTATCTTAACTTTTTGTTTATTTGGAGTGTTAGATAAAGTTTCACGCGTCAATTTAGAGACCTATTCAAAATCTGTGTGAACACTGCGTTTGAATATGCGGCACTAATCTGAATGTTAAAATTCACGCAAGAAATGAAGGCACTCTATCATTCATAAACTAGTTTGTAGACTTATTACCATTAGCATATATTGGGCATGGGCGTTTGATAAGTCTGGGTCGCTTAAATAAATGACCATAACTAATAAGAAATATATTATACATAGTGCATAGTAAATCGTTTGTTTAATATATTTAAATGAAATGTTAGTATGTCATTTCTGCCACACTATTCTATATTTATACGACCTTTTAGTACAGGCTTTTATTCTTTTATTTCTTTTTTTTTATTTCGGACACCATCAAAGAATTTATTAGCCTGATGGGGTGCTATAAAAACTAGCCTACAAATTAAATTCGTTAATCAGCTAATCCATCAAATTGAACAGTCAAATAAATTTATAAGCCGCCACAGGTCATGTCAGGTTTTAGTTTACGATATAAGTAGACGTAAATCCTGTTTTGATATCTCATTTTGGCTATTAAATTATCTCAATGTTATGGACCAATTTGTTAAGCTCACATATTTAGCGCCTCTCCAGCGCAGCGGTGCTCAGTGAATTAAAATTCTGCGCCCAAAACCGGACAATGAAAATGGAAATGAAAAAGTAAAACCAAGCCAAGCCAAGCCAGGCCAAAAAAAAAACTGTAGCATGCGCCGGTCGATTGAAACTATAAATTATGCTAAATATTTATAGCGAAATACACAGACGCAAACATTAATTTAGTCAAATACTTTTTTGGGTGTGCCGGGCGAACCCCTCCCCGGTCTCTCATAGCAGCGGGCCAGGGACTGGCTCGACATTGACACTGCTGCATGCGGCTTTGCCTTGCTCTTCGACGACTTGAGGCGAGGGTAAGCCCACTCACATTGGATGGCTTTGACGTACAAGCTGCCTTCGCTGCCTTCGCTGCCTCCGCTGCCTCCGCTGCTGTCGCCGCCGGTGTTGAGATGCGTACACACATTCTCCGGTTTTGGCCAATTCGGGCTATTGGCTGATTTTATTGTTATGGTTATTTAGATTAATTTCCTGAACATCGACGTACAAACTGTCGAAGCGATCAGGTTTTTGAGAATATCATATCACACGTCGGTTTTTAGTATAAATTCGCTTGCCAGCTACCACCAAGTCAGCACACTATCTTGTCTACCAGTTGAAGACACACACAAACTCCACAGCCCTAAAGATGTTCCGCTTCGTAAGTATCAAAGTTGCAAAATACGAATCACAGGACCTGCTGCTTTAACCAGAACTGGCACATTGCGATATTTTAGCTTCTTGTTGCCTCGGCCTTCATTGCCTGCGCCTATGCTGCTTCTCAGAGCGACGCTTATGCCACTGGCAGGAGCGACAGTGATATCCAGCCTGACGGTAGCTACAGGTTCTCATATGATACCAGCAATGGAATCGCTGCTCAAGAGCAAGGAGTTGGTGGATACTCTGCCAGCGGTGGATTCTCCTACTACTCACCAGAGGGTGAACTGATCCAGACTTCATACGTTGCCGATGAGAATGGCTTCCAGCCTCAAGGCGCCCATCTGCCCACACCACCACCCACTCCCGTGGCTATTCTTAAGGCTCTGGAATACATTCGTACCCACCCACAATACCAAGAACCAGCTCAGGGTCAACAATTCGTTCGCCGTCAACCTCAGGTTGTCCGCAAGCCCTTCTTCGGTTAAGAGTTGAAAAGTATTCCAAGTATTTACAAAATAAAAGCTTTCTTAATGTGTATATATGTTTTTAATAAACGAATATGATGTAAAGTAGATAAACTAAAACGTGAATATTAACCTGTTCTTGCAAATATGCTTGTTTTTACCAAAATATTTGATGGTACTTCATCAATCATAACTCCATTTAATAACTTTAATTATTAAATGTGCAATTTTTGTGATGTTATTAACAGTGTTTACCAGCTAAAAGTGTAATGTGAATTTTAAATGTTTAATGAATAACTTCCTCTGCGATTCTCAATAATTCAAGTAGGACCTACCTATTGGCTGTAATATGAGTCAACTTTTTTGTGATGGTATGAGTATGTTGTATGTTTTAGTAATCTGTATATGGATATATATATATATATAATTTACCATATTAAAAATAATATTCTAGTTGAAAATCCAATTCCCATAGTAAAATTAACGCAACTTTAATCTAAATTGATTAAAACGTAATTTAAACACTTAGTGAACCCTGTTGGGCTCAATTTGCGTAACAATCAGCAGTTTTTGACAACATTTACAAGACACGCAAGAATTAATCGCATTCAAGTCCATTTTCAGCTTCCACCCTGAGTAAACGGTCGCTTTTGCATTTCATTAACATCAAAACTGGCAACAGCTGAAAGGCATCTGTCCAATACAGCTGCCCGTGCTGGTTCAACTCAACTGAGAAATTCGCTGTAGAAGTAAGTATTGGGTAATAAATAATAACATATAGTTTTGTAACAAATTTGATTTATATCAAGAAAAAACCTTTCTCCCAAGTGAAAGAAGTTACCAGAATCCCAAATATTTCCTAGTAGACAATCTAATCGATATCGGATTCTAGGAAAAATGTAAAAAACAACAAATCATTATAGTAAAACGAATAACTAACGAAATTAAAAATTATTTATCATTTACTAGCTTAATCTAAGCACGGTGATGCGTTATACTACATTAACTTATTTCTTGAGCTGAACTCTTGTGAAAGGATGCTCCTCAATGTATGCCAATGCCCTCAAGATGTAATCTGGAGTTGGAGGAGGTGTTGGCAAATGATCGCCCTTTGGCTGATAACCATTTTCATCAGCTGTGTACTCCAGATTAATGGGTTGTCCATCGGGAGCTGTGTATTGTACGGATCCAGTAGCATAGGCACTTCCCACTCCACTCTCTGCGGCCTGAATGTTGTTTGAAGTCCCATATTCATAGCTATAGCTGCCATCCTCATTAATCTCAGATCTATATTTGGTGATAACGGCATCCGACTCATCGACTGCACCGCTGCTGGCGATAAGGCATAGGGCCGCAAGGATAAGAGTCTGGAAGACGATGATGAAACTATATTCACGTACAGCACAATTTAGATAACAACTTACGGCTTTGTACATTTTGATTTGTGATTTGCTGAGCTCCGGCTTTTCTTACTGCACAGATGACTACTGCAGGTGATACTGGTGTCGAAATCAAATAGACGAGACTTTTATATCAGCCTTAGCTGGAACTGTGACCTACACCTACAACACAAGGGCTCCATCGTAAGTATGCATATTTTAATATTTGTTTTTATGGCACGGAATTATTAATTTACGCATTTCAAATATGAATCTGACCGCGTTCAACGAACGAACGAACTGCAGTGGCATATTTGTGGTTATAGAAAACACGCAGTTTAATTTTACGTTTTTCTATGCTATTGTCTTACGCATAAAAAATGCATATTTATTCCGTATACTAAAGGCCATAACTCTTTGGTCCATGCATATGGTCATCATGTATAGGCAGCTATTCATCTTCACAAGATATAATTATGTTAAGCTCTAACAACAATGTCATAAATTTCAGAGTTTTATATGGATATCTGGGTAAGTCTATTTTATATTAGATGCAGAAAGTACTAATTTAAATTTACATAATTTGATCAGTCGATATTTTAAGTTTGAGACAGCAACAAGAATAATTTTATTGCCTCTTTGACAACAATATCTAAAGAATTTACAGCAATTTACATCAATTTACATGCATACGTTTGTGCACTGCAGTAAACAAAGAAACTTCTTGGTAAAACGTTCCATTCATTTCATAACGAAAGTGGACATTTTCATAGCTAAAGTTGTTTATTATTTTTAAAAAGCAATACAATTGATTTAGCCAAGGCAATTAAGTTGTTCCGTTTGTGTTATTTATTTATATTAACATTAGACAAACAGACAGTTTAAAATTTACCCGCCCGATAATATATCAATTTTAAATAAAATACTAGTTGGTATTTCCAATTTCATCGGACATAAAATCGAGTAACTATACTGACATCTGACGACAAATGTTGAAAACCAACCGATATCTATATTCGATAGTCTCGATATCAATATAGCTTCATACTAATATTATGGGTATTCACTTATCGACTGATAATCTATAAAAACCATGTTATTCGTAAAATGTGTCCCAGCAATTGGCAAAATTAGTTAATAGAAACCTTATAAAAAATGCTGAGATAAAAAGAAAATTATCCCATGACAAAACAGCTTTAAAAAGTGTAAAAACATCGCAGTCTTTCGATTAATAAAAAACCGACTAAGGAAATCAATTTGGAACTATCGATAGTCACATTGAATGCTGTGCAGTTCTTCAAAGCAGCCCTGATTATCAGGCCTGATATCGCAATAAAAGAATAAAGAAGTAAAACGTAAGAACTGCATTACTGCCATAATTAATTTATACATAAACTAAATAATGCCAAATTATGCACAGTGTAAAAACAGAGAAGTGAAGATGTGAAATACACAAGTTTTCTATAAAATATGAGAAGTTTAACTTGACATATCAGCCTTTTGCACACCAAAAATTTTTCTTACAAGCGCGCCATTTTGTTTTTGGACTTTCTAATTCTGGCTGTGTTTTCTTTTGTGTAAAACAATAAAAACGTTACCGTTTGCCCACAAGAATATAAAACTGTCAATTGCTGGTTTAATAACCATGCAAATATGTAGATGGAAAGCGTTTATAACAAAAACGCGCGACAAATGAAAATAAATATGTATGTATGTATGTACATACCTAAATAAAGGCTGCTGAAAATGTCAATACGATGAATAAACGAAGCAGCGATTAGTACGACGTCGGTCGTGGTCGTGCCTGTGGCAGAAGCAGAGGGTCAGACGCGCTAATTACGTCATAACAATCAAAGAAAATTCAAGGTCTCCCTAGCGCACATCAGACATGAAGCCTATGTATTAGATTTCGCTACGTTTTCATTAAAAATAAAACCTAAGGCAAAAAACAGTACACAGACTTTCTGTTAAATTTTCGAGCATCTGTCAGTGTATGTATATGTTGAGTGTTTACGAATGTGTGCGTGCGTGTGCTATTCGCGACTGTATAATTACACACATATACAGTTATTTTGTTGTTGCCAGTGCTGTTTTTGTTGTAAGCAGCCAGAGCGAGCGCGGCGCAGCCTGTGATACAGAAAGAAAGAGCGAAAGAGTGCGCGCGTAGGCAAGAAGAGATAACTTGACACTAAACCAAGAAAAAGAAGAAGAAAATGCTAATCCAAACAAATTTGTATATTGCTCTTATCAAATAAAAATATATATACATATATATATGAATGTGCTTTTATGTAAATGCGTGTACATGCTTATAATATTTATTTTGCATTTATTCCCATTTTAGCAGTACATAAGATGCGTGCATCTGTGTATGTGTTGAACGGTGCGGCATAGAAACCGCCGCCAAGCGCTAAAGTTCATATCTATGTATACGCATATGCGTGTGTACATTTATACAGATAGTGAAGAGAACAACAATAACAACAGGAGTTAAAGGCGCCTCCAAAAATAATATTGTACATAAATTTTAATTAAAGCGAAAAAAAAAACGCAACAGCAACAAAACAGAAAGGAGAAAACAAAAATCAATAGGCGATAAAAAGTGCTGTTATCAGCGTGTTTTCGTCATTTTGCTTTGGAATTGAAATCGTTTTCGGTTTGCCTTGGCATTGTTGGTATCTCGTTGGTATTCCGACATATCGTTGTTGCTGCCGCGAAACAAATTACGCGGCAGCGGCAACAGCATCGCTTACTGTTGTTTGGGTAGTCGCTGACACCGACAATGTCTGTGCAGCAGTTTTGCCTGCGCTGGAACAATCACCAGCCAAACTTCATATCCGTCTGCTCTTCCCTGCTGCATAATGGGACGCTGGTGGACGTCACGCTTGCCGCGGAGGGCCGTCAACTGCAGGCCCACAAAATAGTGCTCTCCGCGTGTAGCTCGTACTTTCAGGTGAGTGAAAGTCTTTCATAGAGGTTTGACGATTATTTAAGATTGCATCTGCTTTGTTTGACTTTCAACAGGCGCTATTTACGACAAATCCGTGCCAGCATCCGATTGTCATACTGAAGGACGTGCAGTACGATGATCTCAAGACAATGGTGGATTTTATGTACTACGGCGAGGTGAATGTGTCGCAGGAGCAACTGCCGCACATACTCAAAACGGCCGAAATGCTCAAAATAAAGGGCTTGGCCGAGATGCCCACGGATCCGGCCAACCTCACCAAATCCGACAGCAAGTCCTCCAGCGAGGCCGCTGAGCTGCTTGGACAAGCTGGCGCCAATGTTGCTGGCACTAACGCTGGTGTGGCCGCTCCAAGTCTGGGAGCAGCTAGCGGTAGCAGCAGTGCCGGTGATTCGCTTTGGAGTAGCAGTGAGGCGCAGCAGTTTCAGCAGCATCATCAGCAGCAGCTACAGCAACAACTGCAGCAGCAGCAGCAGGCGCAACAACAACAGCAGGCTCAACAACAACAGCAGCAGCAACAACAGCAACAGCAGCAGCAACAACAACAACAGCAACAGCAGCAGCAACAACAACAGCAGCAGCACCATCACCACCATCATCATCACCAACCACAACAGCAGCAGGGTAGCCAAGCGCAGGGTTCGCAGACGCATCACCATCAGCTGAGGCGAACGCCATCACCGCTTAGTGCTGGCACCTCGCCGGCTACACGGCGCAAGCGCTTACGAAAATCCTCAAATAACGGTGAGTGCGACTTGGGTAAAGAATCGTCGACCAGCTCCTGAATATAGTGGACGCAGAGAAAATCAACTAATATGCTTTTGGCTGTTTATGGCATTTAACAGGCTCTGGTGATCGAAACAACTCGGAGGAGCAGCACAACAGTTCCTTGGATGCAGGTGGTGCTGCTGGAAATGCTGCTGGCCTAAGTCTGGCACAGATGAGCCAAATGTCTTTTGGCGGTGGAGCCGGAAGCAATTCGACCGCGGCTCTGGGCAGCCTCTCGGGCCACTCGATGCATGCTGCCAAGCTACTGAAAGAATCAGCGAGCGCTGAGCTAGAGCAGCAGCCGCAGGACTCGGATCTGGACGACGCTCACGGGCACATACATATGCAAATTGTAATGAAATTGGTCACGTTAAATTTAAATCCAACTCTACGCATTTTACTAAACTAATTTTCTTCAATATTTATTGCTCAACGTGCAGAAACCCGAAGTGGACATCGGCAGTGTGAATCAGTCGATGCCTCTGGACATTTCTGGCACCACGACACCATCGGAACACGACGCACCCAATTCACAGTCATCACACTCTGGTAAGTCAAAATCCTAAACTATAAAGGCTCTGCCCGAGCTGCAATATGTATGCAGTGTACTTGTAAAAAATAAATCGCACAGTGGAACAACGTTAATCAAAGACATCCAAACGTTTATAATTAAATACGTTTATATTAAATAAGATAATTGTGCGATTTATTTTGAAATTTTACCTTAGATGCAAAATAGAAAAAGAAACACTAACATTAAAATCATACGCCAGATCATGCTTCATTAAGGGGTTGTAGTTTCTATTGGCAAAAGGCTGTCCGTACGAGACGAGTCGAGTCGAGGAGTTCTACTTGGTCCCTGCGTTTTGTGTTTTTGTTGTTGATTTTGCTATCATTATCATTATTTCATTCTTATGAATTTGCTCAACTCTAGCTTCTCCTGTTGTTACTCTGCTATCGCTCATTCACATGTCATGCGTTCCATACACACAGATACACACACTCAATCACAGCCACAACAAAACACAAACACAGACACTCACTCAAACACATACGTTCAATGAATTTAAGTGCGATCCAAAGCGCTTGGAGAAATGAATGCTAAAGCTAAATATGAAACATAAGCATAAAGACTACCGTTTATCGATTAAGTGCGATTAAAAATAATTGTGTTACATGAAATTAATGCATTTGTATGTATATAATCAACTATTGTGTATTCTATTCAAAAATGAAATCCTACCTGAACTTGGGAATGGGAGAGAGCTAGCACAGAGTCCAAAAGTAAATAACTGTATTTTACTGATTTGATTTTTTCATTTTGTCAATTTGATTACTAAAATCTTTTGTTTGCCAATGATTTTTTTTTGTAAATTTCCTGTTTTTTTTTTTTTTTTTTTCTTTTGTGGGAAAGCATTTTGAAGAGCGGTTTTCGAATGATAATGATTTAGCATTAGCAATCTTTCTACTACTCGATACCGATACCAATACCATTCTACTATATAAACTGTACTATATCTGTTGTCCAATGGTTTGCCCCTATTTCGAATCTCAGATCTTGGCCAAATGTTGAGCCCCGACCCCAAATTGAGAGTAAATTAATAGAGAGTAAATTTCAATTTCAAACTCCTACTAAAGACAAAACCAATCTTACGCTGTCTCTCTCTCTCTCCCCTTCCCAGGTCTGCAGTGGACAGTTGTTGATTCAAACTATTCGCGCTTCTCGATGCCCGCTTGCCAGTCCAACTTGATTGGAAATGGCAACGGCGGCAATCAAAACAGCGGTGCGAATAGCAGTGCCGGCGTCGGTACCGCCGGCAGCAACGATCAACGCCAACAGCAGCAGCAACAGCAGCACGAAGCCCAGCAACAGGCCACGCAGCAGCAACAACAACAGCATCTGCAGCAGCTGCACTACCAACAGCAGCAACAGCAACAACAACAGGGCGCTACGGCTGGTCAGGCGTACTCGTCGCAAATCATAACCGTAAATAATTTGGTCAGCGGCTATGCAACGGCAGCGCAAAATCTGTCACCCACGTCACCCAACGAATCCAATATGGTGCAGTCTGTGTACAGTCAGGGGCCGACGCCCACACAGTCACCGGTGCACTCTGGTGTGGGCGGTGGTGGCGGTGGTAGCAGCGCGGGTGGAAGTGCGGGCAGCGCAGGCGGCGGCGGCAATAGCAGCAGTGGTGGAGGGGGCAGCAGTCAAGTGGTGAAGCGGAAGCGTTCGGTTAACCCGCAAGGCGATGAGAATTTTATTCGAGCTCTGGAAGCGGTACGCACCGGTGGCATCGGATTCTGCAAAGCTGCTCGGCTGTACGGCGTGAACAATCGCACTCTCTGGCTGGAGTACAAGAAACGCGGCTACCCGGTGTCGAGGCCCAGCATTAAGGCGCGCGTGGTCAAGCAGGAGCCTAACCTTTCGCCCTCGCCAACACCATCAACAAATCCCGGCGACGATACGACCAACGAAACTTATGATCATCTAACAGCAGCAGCCGTTGCCGCAGCCCAAACGGCTGCGCTCAACATGCAGATACCGCCACAAGCGGAGACGCCGACGCCATCGCTGATGTGCACTCCACATCATGGCAGCGCCGCGGCGGCCACTACAGCCGGTGGCACTAACACTCATCCAGCCATCGGCGTCATGAGCCTCTTCGATGCACGCTACATGGACTCACCAACAAACGTGCACACGATGTCCCGGCAGCGATATATCGATGCGACGGGAGCCGGTGCAGCCGCCGCTGCCTCGGGGGCGGGCACGATTAACGTTAATCCGGCCGCCGCCATGAATCTACAGAGTATTAACTTCAACTCAATATAGAATACGATTTCAAGTCACATGGGCGTTGTTGCCGCCGCCGCAGCAGGTGTAATGCCTCTGCAGGTGGACCAACTGAGCGGCGGCAGCGGTGAGTCTGCACACGGGCCAGGGCCAGCCACGTTGCTGCAGGCCGCCGTTATGGCAGCAAGTGAGCCAGAACCAATGAGCATATCAGCCGTGCCCGTCTCGGTCTCAGCAATGGGCACTGCGCATAGCGCAGCGGCTACCGCGTTTATTTTCAATAATTTTGTAACTGTGGCGGCACCACCACCGCCGCCACTGGTTGCCAGCACGCTAGCACCGCTGGTTAACACCGGCCTGCAATACTTAGATAAATCCTAAGATCCCAGGCGCTGCAGTGCAAGGTGTGTAACTCTCGATACAGGTATTAGAGCAACGGCAGCTACTCTAGTGAATTACAGGCATTAGGCATAACCCACGGGGTTCGGAATCGGCAAATAAGTTATGCCATGTCATCAATGGAGGAACGGCAGAACCCACTAGGATGTAGTATCCCTAAAGTTAAGCAGATGTGCCGACAAGCGACACATATGTAATAATTTATAAAACTTTATTCCTTAAGCTACATGTTTCGAGCCGAACATTATTTTTACCGTTGTTAACTAAGAAATCGGTAGTAAAGTATGTGTATATGTAACCACAATTTATATTTGTACATAAATTTATACAATTTTATTAGTGTTAATCGTCAAAATACAAAAATGATTTGTGTATCGACTAGCTAGCATGTACATATAACTTTTTAAATATTAACTACTTAAAATTGGCCTAATTATTTTCATAATTGATGTAATCCCCTTTAGTCCTGGCACTCGTGTTACAAAAGCAACCTTCATTACGTATACATTCTAAGTCGTATAATTGAATATGTATTTCTTTCTATAAACAACATATATTTGTGTACAGTTTATGGCCAATCAGTTTTAGTTGAAATGGATGTTTTGTATCTAGTTGATGGGAAATGTGTCTGTCTTTAGACGGATAGTGTTATAATCCGTATAAAATAAACCGTAAGAGAAGTTAACCTTCAAATATTTAATTAAGCCAACTCAATAATGTATGATATATATATATATATATATATATATATGTACCAATATATATATTATATATTTGTAAATGTACGCAATCATTTTGTATTTTCGATTTTGGGCTGGATTTGTTTTTTTTTGAACCACCAACCATATTACCCAATACCAATGAATATGGAAAGCAAGAATTTGTTCAGAGACTGTTTTTGTGTATTTATCGTGAAACTATCAAATTAATTTCAATATTGGCGAATCATACGAATTAAAAAATCATTCCAATTATAGTTTCTGTTGAATATATATCTATATCTCGTTCACTGGATTATACGGTGCTTGGTTTAGTCTTTGTTTGGAGTGCAATTTAACACATACTAGACATATCTTAAAGGAATTCTTGATTTGATTATTTTTGGTTTCATTTGAATGTACATAATATTTGATGTACTCATACGATAAAAATAGGACTAAATGGGCAAGCCATATACGCAATATACAAAACTAAGATAACTCGTAACCACCCAAAATCCTAAATGGAGACTGCAGAAATTAAAGGAAAACGAATAAGAATAATGTGTTTTTAATACAATAAACATATATATATATGCATAAAGAAAAATTATATAATAAATATGTATGTAACTAATAGAGAACTTTTTATATTGTCGCAAGGCATACTAAAAAAGAAAAAAATTAAGCGTGATTTGTTAGAAGTCATTTGTAATTGTAACGTAAAACTTTTGGTAATGCATTTTAAATCCTAAAACTAGATGCATAGTTCTACACAGGCCAACAAAAACCAAACAAAATAAACGAATTCATCAAAAACAACGCAAAAATAGCATAAACAATAATTATGACTAACTCTGTTTCCTACAATTGCAAAAGTACCAATAACTATGGTAGTTGTGTATGTGTGTGTTTAACATATATAGTTATAAAAAATTAAAAAATATATTTAATTATTTACATTTAATGTACTTTTAGTCAGCGGTAGTAAATGAAACGACTGTAAAATAAGTTACGCAAATATGTACGATATATTGTAACTAACGAACGAACCTTTTAGACTCTAGGCTTCGATGTGCAAGAAACGAATAAAATTAAATTAAAACAATAATTAATTGTAAGCCTGCAGAAACACACCAACATGACCGGAATCCGTGCTGCACCAAATACTAAAAGTTCACATTTCGTTTGTTTGCAGAGCCCAGCCCGGCGCATGCGACACAGCATCATCCAACGCTGGCCATCACACACAGCCAGGGCACCAACACCAGCAGCAGCAGCGGCGGCAGCTTTGAGCGCACGCCGAGCGAAACAGATACGGCCACGGACCTGCAGACATCGCAGTCGACGGCGGTGATGGGCTCCAAGCGGAATCGAGTGCTGACGCGACAGCCGCGCGTGAAGCGTGACAGCGATAGCCTTTCGTCGACCAATCAGATTTCGCCGGACACGGCGGCAACGACGCTGGACTTTGATCCGTTTAATGCGGCGGGCGCAGCCAACGCCATAGCCAGGGACTATTCGACGCATCATCATCAACATCAGGCTCAGCACCATCAACATCATCCTCATCTGTTGAGCGTACCACCTCGAATTGAGCGGCATGCATCTGAGCCAGCGCCTAGCCTGGCATCCCCGACACCGCACCTACTAAGCGTACCGGCCAGCACACCATATCTGATTAAGCAGCATTCGGATCCACTTCTGCCGCGTCAGCACTCGCTGCACGCCACCGGCACCGGCAGCATCACGAGCACTAATCCTTTTGCGCCGTTGCATCGGCAATACTCGCATCCGCTGTCGGGAACTAATGCTAGCTATGTGCCGCCTGTTGCGCTACATCATCCACATCATATATCGCTGCCCGAGTCCATTTACGCCTCTGGCTCGCCGCCGCCAGCCGGCTCGTCACAGTACCTGGTCCCGGCACGCGTAGTCACGTGCACAGCCTCGTCGAGTGAGACTGCGGCCACGCCGACAAACACTAGCGGCACCCCAGTTTCGGTGGTAACATCGCCACCGGCCGGCCTCAACAGCATCAGCAGCAATCGCCAGCCATTTTCGCCCACGTACGGTGGCAGCACGGAACCGTCTCCCATTCCGGAACGACGCTCGCCGCACTCACCCATCATAAATATTGGGGAGCGCAGCAGTGCAAGAGTCGAGACAGCCAATGGCGGTGGTAACAAGTTGCGTAGCTCCAAGTCAACAGGCAACAGCAGCGGTCATCTGCATCCCAGCCAGACCGCGACGACGAGTAGTTCATTTGAGCATTTGCCCACGCTGCGCGTGAAGAACGAGGAACTACAGCGCTCGGTGTCTTCTCCACAGGTACGTATGTGCAGGTGGTAAGCCTGCATCTTATAAGAAATCCGTTTAATATATGTCTTGTGCCGGCAGACACAACGTGAAATAATTACCTTGGAGAATCCACGTTCTAGTCATTGTCCCGTCATACGTCCTGGCCCAGCGCTGGGCTGCAATTTCTGTTGGAATACCATCGATGGACATGGTCGCATTTTGCGCCGCAAAACGAAATACCACTGTCCCGAGTGTCAAACGAATTTATGCATTGTGCCGTGCTTCCAGGAGTACCACGAACGGCTCAACAATGAGGCAGCCGCCGCGAGCAACAGCAGCGAAAGTCAGGCCAACAACAACGGCAGCAGCAGCAGCAGCAGCAAGGGAACCGGAGCCACATACGCCTCTGCTGGCGGTGCTGCTAGGCTCTACACGAAAACCGAATCGATATAAGCAGCGCCGTGGAATCGAGTGCTTTTTGCTTAACAAATTTGTATTTGTGACACGACGGGCCATTCCCGCAATGGGCGTCTGTCGAATTTGTTGTTTGTCGCCAGGAAGTGCGCTGCGGCGCCATCAAATGGCTCGCCCGTGGCGCACTTTTCATCCTGCATCGAAATTTTTCATTTGTCACAGTCCCACTGTCCTGGACCTGGACACGAACTGTTCACGCGCATTTTTGAAAGCGCAACAAAAATTGTTTTGTATCTGCGCCACTTGGGCGCAGCGATGTACATGTGCATGCATCCAAACTCGTACATAGATACATATATGTCTGTTTGTAAATGCACGAGAAACATTTTAAACTAATCGTAAAGCGAGCTATGTAAATGTAAAGTAATTGCTACGTACATACGTATGTACATATATTCTTGTACAAATTGGAGAAACGAAAATACATAAATCAAGAAATCAAGTAATAAAACATCGGCGGTGCAGCCAAATGGTGTGTACAGCCCAGATCAAGCTCGAATCAACAGTAATAATATATAAAAATCAAAATCAACTTCTATATGCATATATGGAGTACTACAAACTTCCCGCCAAAAAACAACTAGGATTGAGGGCGTAACCACGCCTTTAAGGCCAGGCACCGCTGCGCAGGCGCACGATTTTGAAATACGATATATACCTGGTAAACTGAATTTTGTGTTAATTAAATGTTTTGTAAGCGTATTAAGATAACCGATAAACATGCATATGGCATGCATAAATTATAATCAAGCACAATCTGAATGTAATGTATTTTCTAAAAAATGCGAATACGAATCAAAAAATCAAATTGAATAGTCAGTCAATATTTCTCTACTGTTCAGTTGAGCTTGGTTACATTTAGACAATATAGAAAGAGTACAAAATTAAGTTCAAGCAAACGGCAGACAGACAAGCGGAATGCCAAGTAAACCAAGTCAAAAATATTGAAATCAATTCAATTTTAGAAAGCAATTTCATGCAATTTCATAAATACAGATTTATTTCTTGATGTTGTAATTCGTTGAAAATAATTGATAATCAGCTCATGAGAATTTAAGGAAATCAATTTTTGCACACCTGATATACTATGTGCAAAAACATAAATGAATCAAAAATTAAATTAACAAAAGTTTCCAAATTGTAAAAGCATATTTTATAGATCTTGACCCTATCTATTTTCTTACTACATATTCGAACCGGACTCCCAAACCTGAGTAAAAGATTAAACTCTTTGTGGCGTGCCGTTGATTATCAATAAATAATTGTTTTTAAATTTACAATTTCTATATATCGCCTTTATTGATATTTTCATCTAATTACCATTTAACAACACGCTGTAAATTTTCCATTTGTTTACTTCTTAGCTCCAGCGGCAGCCGCAGCTGGTTGCACCACTTCTGAAGCTGGGTTTGCATTTCGGAAATTTGGGAACTGCTCCCATGGTGCCGATAGATCAAACTTTCTGAATTCCTGCGCCAACTCCAAGGGTTCGCAAACGACACGCTTTTTCTCATCATCATAGCGCAGCTCAACGTAGCCGGACAACGGAAAGTCGCGGCGCTGTGGATGGCCCTCGAAGCCATAATCAGTGAGGATACGGCGTAAATCGGGATGATTGGCAAAGAAGACACCGTACATGTCCCAAATCTCACGCTCGTACCAATTGGCTGCCTTGTGAACCTCACAGACCGAGTCTAGCGGGGTCAGCTCGTCGGTGTAGGTCTTTACCCGGATGCGAGAATTGAAGCGCAGCGATAGCAGGTTATAAACAACCTCAAATCGATTTTTGCGGCACGGCACGTCCAAGCCAGCTATGTCGACCAGATTAGTAAACTGCGCCTGATGATGATCCTTAAGGAACTGGAGCACGGGCACAACGCCCTCGGGCGCGATGAGTACCTCCAGCTCATCACCAGAAGTCAGCTGCACCTTCTGCACATATTTGGGCAGGCACTCGGCAACGTAACGACCAAAATCTGAGAGGCTGGTGCGAGCAGCTGCATCCGGTTTGCGTACAGTAGCTGCCGAATCGAAAAACATTATAGTCCCCAGAAAAGATTAGCTAACCAGCTCAAACTACTTACGTTTCTCAGCTGCTTTGGCATCAACTGGAGCAGTACTTTGCATACGCAGCGCAGCTGTTCCAGCGGGTACCACTGTGTAATGAATATTTGAATTATTGCCATAGATGTGTGCCGTATATAGTTACCATGCTTGGCCGTCAAAGCGGCGGAAGCAATCCTGGCACCCAGATTTCTAATTAGTGCGGCCATTCGCTCGATTAAACCAAATATTTGAGTGCAAATCCAATAATCTGCACAATATTTGACAATTTATGTAATAACAAAACGTCAAAGAACCAGTGTTGGGTAAATTTTTGTTGTCCAGTGAACTAGATCGTTCATCCTTCCCAATTCTCTTCTCATACCGTTGGAATTTCTTTATGGAACAGTACAAGTAACTGGTGCTATAGAATTAGCACCAGGCAGTTTCGTGTTCCAAAATTAACACTGTTCTGTATATTAATTTTCATTACTTATTTGTGAGCATTTAAATTTAATTACTAAACAGAACTATTGCGAAATTGGAATAAGCAAAACAGAACATAACGAACTAATTATGTTCCGAGCTTAGCTCAATTTAATGAACCAGAAAGCGCAAATTTAACGCATTCAGTGTTGCCACCAATTGACAGTATTTTTGAACACAACACTTGTTTGTTATGTTGATGCGGCATAATTATTTAATTTATAGGCACAATAATATATATCATTTTGCATTTGATGCATTATCTAATTTAATTAGTGACTTAAAGTTGAAATATTTGAAATCGTAGTAACATCACGCTCCAATCACACTTGACAACCCTAACGCTCTCCATTTTCGTCGCGTTTCGCTTCGTGCTCTGGAATAGAATAGAATCCGATTTTTGGAAAATAAAACACAACAAACGAAAATGGTAATGGTTTTTGGAACAATTGCAAAAACAAACACCGACTAGATAGTGCGATTTGTTTACTTTTAAATTTTTGCTTATCTCTTCTCAGAATCACCTAAAATGGATGGGGCACTCGTCCACAATAATGGATATACAGCGCGTTTTGCTGCATCAACAAAGCAACAATCAACAATGCGAGGTATTGCTCGTGGCCAAAGACGGCATCAGTGTGCGCGCCCACCTTTTCGTACTGAGTACGTGCAGCGATCTAATGCGCAATCTGCTTGTCGATTTACCCGCCGGCCAGGAGGCAACTGTCATCCTGCCAGACATTCGTGGTGAGCTGCTCGAGAGCATGTTGTCGTTTATTTACATGGGAGAGACGAGCTTACCCTCCGCCCTGCTCACCGAGTTTCTCGAGGCCATTAATCTATTGGGCATAAAGTCTGCCATTAGTTTCGAAACCAATCCTACAGCCATGACCACCTCGAATGTTATAAGCGGCGCTATGGCGGTCGAAGCAGCCAAGTCAATAAGCGGCTTACACATTGCAAATACAGCTCTTATGGAGGAGGAGGAAGAGGAAGATGCTAGTGCGGTGGTCGGCAAACTGGAGGTAGGCAATGCAGTGCTCGCAAACCCCCAACAGCAGCATGAACAGGAAGGCCGAACCTTGGAATTCCTTGATGTGTATGGTGAACAGCCCAAAATAACATATTCGATTGAGCACATGGGTGGCACAAGCAGCGGGAATCAATATATATTAACAGAGAACACGGGAACATTTACTATAACACAATCAGCATCGTCTGTGGCTAAATTAGGTGTGGCAGGAAGTTCAGCTGTGGTGGAATCTGTGGCGACTGGTGAGCTGGGCGATGATGATGCAGAGGCTGAAAATACGGACGAACAGGATGAATCGGAGTCACAGTTAATTGAGGAGGAGTATGTTGGATCAGGTGATCCGTTAATAGAGATGACCGCAGATGCCGATGTTGATATGCACGAAGATGGAATGCATGAAGGAGAACCTGGAGACGAGGAGGAAGATGATGAATTGCTGGATGTGAAACCCCGTGTTCATCTAGATATGAAAATGAGAAAACCAAAACCACGCCAACGGCCAATGTCGGCAAAGGTTACAAAAAAGACTATGACAAAACAGTATCAACAGCACGCCGCGCTTAAAAAGGAAAGCAAGGATGACATCAATGATGCCCTCGATTTGGCTGCAGCTGCCGTACTTCACGAAGGTCTCAGCCTGCAAAAGGCTGCCGATCGCTACGACATATCGAAAACCGTGCTGTGGCGAAGAGTACGCTCCAATCCGGCCTACATGAGGATAAAGCGCGAAAAGCCATCGCTTTCGGAAGCATACGAACGCTTGAAAAACGGCGACTCGTTAAAAAGCATAAGTCAGGATCTGCATATACCCATGTCGACGCTGCACCGGCACAAAGTGCGGCTTGCGGCACAAGGACGGCTGCCCGATTTTGTTGCTTGCCGGCGGCGGGATAGCACACCAAAGGATGAGCTGCGCGACAAGCTGGCCAAGGCGGTGCATGCCTGCATAAACGGAGGCATGTCGCAGAATCATGCAGCAAATCTCTTCGAAATACCCAAAAGCACGCTCTGGCGGCACTTACAGCGCCGCGTGACCGAAGCGGAGCGTAAAGTCAAGGAGGAGCAGGAAGAGGACGAAGATGAGGATGTTCTTAATTAAAATTCATATGCATGCATACATTCGTACACACACTCATGTACATTGCACTTAAACCTAGTTTTCATCTTGCGATTGAATCCGTGTAGAATTTTAGCTAGCAATAAGTCACATTTGTCATTAAAATTGTTTACATAATCTATCTTATAGATTGGCCATAGCCTGCCCGTAGCCTTTAATACCTTAACGACGGAGTCACAAGTTCACCATGAGTACAATTTAAGATTTGAACACGACACGCTCCCATCGCTATCGATACTTGTGCACTGTTATCGATACCGCAATGACTGCCGGCTTATTAAACCGATACGAGATCCTTGTCTACTTTAGTGTTTATATCGTTTATATTGTTATTGGACTATATAAGATCTATGCGCTGCGAGATCGCATCCTAAACACGTCCGAGTTTCAGTTCGCCGAGGGCTGGAGCCTGCTGCAACGGCCCGACGTGGTTAGGGTGCGCGACGACAGCAATGACGAATTGGAGTACTTCGCTGATTTCATTGCGAAATTCTGGCCCTACTACCTGTTGCATGCGCTCGTGAGTGGCATCTCGCGCTGGAAGTGGCCCAGCCTGCGTCGGCATGGACATGTTGCAGTCTGCACACTGGCGATCGGTCTTAACATGCACTGGACATCGCTGACAATGTTTGCCACTCTGCTGTTCAGCTATTATCTTGTGGCGCAACTGGGACGCTCAAAGCTTTTGACATGGCTGCTGACCGCTGCCTGGATTGTGGTCATCAATGTGGCCAAAAACAGCCAATGGTGGCTGGACACGGTGGGCTATGCAGAGTATGCTGTACTGATAGTTACCCTCTCCTGGAGCTTATTGCGCGGCTGCAGCTACTCGTTTACGTGCACTGGCACTGGCAATATTCCTGACTACCTCGCCTACACCATGTACTTTCCCTGCCTCACCTATGGACCGTTCATTAGCTATGAACGTTTCAATCAACAGTCCACGGCTGGAGATGTGTCATCCGCACAGCAGTTTTGGAGATTTTTGTTGGCCCTGCTGCGTGTCGTTTTCTGGTGGCTAATGATGCAGTGGGCCCTGCACTATTTCTACATACACTACATGACGCGGGATGTGCGTGCGGTAGCCATGATGGATTCGGTTTTCTGGCAGCATGCTGCAGGCTATTTCATGGGTCAGTTCTTTTTTATATTCTACGTGATCACGTATGGACTTGGCATTGCCTTTGCCGAGCACGACGGCATAGCGGCACCAAAGCGACCACGCTGCATCGGGCGCATTCACTTCTACTCCGATATGTGGAAGTATTTTGACGAGGGCCTCTACGAGTTCCTCTTTAAACACATTTACGCTGAACTGTGCGGCAGAAAGTCCTCCGCAGTAGCCAAGCTCTGCGCTACTGCGCTAACCTTTGCATTTGTGTTCATTTGGCATGGCTGCTACACCTATGTGCTTATCTGGAGTGTGCTCAATTTTGTGTGCCTGGCAGCGGAGAAGATCTACAAGACATTCGTGTCCAAGCCCGCCGTTCAAAGATGGTCGCTTCAGCACTTTGGCTCCGCCGGCGCGCAACGTTTGCATGCCCTGCTGGCCACACAGCTCTTTATACCCGCCGCCTTCTCCAATGTGTACTTCATAGCCGGACAGGAAATCGGCGGATTTCTGATGCGCGGCGCCTATTTAAGTGGAGTGGGCAACTATTTGGCGCTTAGCTTTTGCAGCTACTGCTTCTTCCAATGCTCAGAACTGCTGCTGACCAGAACAAGCAAGGACAAGCTGAAAACAACCTAAACTAACAACAGATGACATACTTGCACAAAAATAGATGTTAAAGACTGGAAAACTATTATTTTGTATATGATTAATGTGAAATAAGTCTGAAAGATAACCATAAACCAGGTAAAGTCTGTTAAGATTCATATATTAGAAATCTGTATTTTATAGAGTGCTCAGTCGGCAGCTCCGTTGGTTTCCTGCCAATCCAGCCACCTGGTTTGCGTGCAAGTAGACTGAAAGTTCTCCAATAACTCGTCCAGCATTATTTCATCGCAAGTTTGGGTGTGCTGCGTATTGTACAGGCCATCGGGCCAATGCGTTTGCGTTTGTATATGCGACAGGCCGAGCTCCTCGAACAGCTCATCGCAGGTCTGGGTGTGCATATGCGCGGAGTTTTGCGGCCCAAACATCGTTTCCTGCTCCTGGTAAGCGGCATAGTTTTCGTTTGTTGCATTTACTACATCCTGTGGCGCCTCTGTCTCCGTCTCCAGGTCAAGCTCCGTCATTGTGCCCTGATGCTGCCTATTGTCGAGCGTTTGGGTCTGTATGTTGCGTATCAGGGGCACCAGCACTTCATTATTCATGTCGATCCCATCAAGGTCCACATCGTCGGTCTGAGTTTCCATGTCGCGCAAAAGTAGCTCAACCTCCTCAACTGTAAAATTCGGCATGGACAACTCATTCGCGGCGTTGGCGCGCTCCTTCAGAGCCACATCTATTGCTGTTTGTATTGCAACGTCCATGTCCACGCTATCCTCAGTCTGTGTGGATGTTTGCAGGGCATATGGGACCTCAATTTCTGGCAGACAATAGTATGACGGTTGCATAGGCGAGTCCATTGCGGGTACATGTTCCATGGCGGGTAGATTTATAGTATTATCGGTAAGCGTTTCCGCTGTGCTTGCGGATTGATGTTCCTCATTAGACAAGTTTTTCTGCAACTTTTTCCATGACTTCAAAGAAGGTATTGCTAATTTCGAGGACAAGGATGGCGCTTCCTTCACATCACTTCTGTTGGATGTGTCCAGATGGTTCTTGCGACGCATGTGAGTCTGGAGGCTCGCCTTGCTTGAGTATGTGAGCTCGCATACGGGACATGGGTAAACCGAGCAGCACTGATGCTTTTCTAAATGCCGCGCAAGTAAAAATGTTTCGTTACATTCGTTGCATTTGAACTCCTTGGCCATGTGGATTTTCTGGTAGTGTTGCCGCAGGAATCGGAGATTCGCAAAGCCGCGGCCGCCCTTACACTGAGCATGATAAATACATTTCTCCACTGGACAGTGATACGCTGATATGGCCATATCGTTCTTTATTGCTGTCAACTTGTGTCGACGTCGCAGATGCAGGTAATAGTGACTTTGATTGCCAAATACCTGATCGCTGCAGTGCTCGCAGCGATACTGGCGCACCGGCAGCAGCTCTTTAATATCGGGCGTATGCTTACATGACATGGACGCGGCAAAAACATTTGTTCCAAGTCCAGAAAAATTGCAATAACAAAAACATATGGGCAGGATTGCCAGAGTATCACAACTTGTGTGTTATCGGGCTTACTTAGAGGATGCGAGACATTTCTATTTGGTGCATCCACATCTGCGTTTAAACGAACACGGTTTATCTTGTGTGCCCTCTAATGGACACAAAGCAATTCGGTTTATGTATATAAAAAATGAATATACAGCTTTTTATACACGCAAGATGGTCTAATTAAATATGGACCACATATTACCGCCAATATATCGGTGTTGTTCCAGCCCTTAACTTTTTATATCGATAGTTCAATTTTTCGATAGGTGTGAGCATATCTTGCATCGCTAGTTAGCGTGCTGCCGTTGTCGTGTTGTGCGAAAGTTTGCTCGTTTTAATAAATTATTAAGGTAAATCTAACGAAAATTTGCGTAAACTAAAAAAAGTATATATACAAGCATTGTAATGAGGGCAAGTAGTCTCGATATGAAGGTCGCGAGTGTTCAACAACTTTCCGCCACTGCAAAATGAACTGTGTGAATATTCATATATAATATACATATGCCCATTTACATGCATGTGTATGGTATTTGTATATGCGTGTGTTTAAACAAATATTTGTGTAGAACTTTTTTCATGTGCTGGATTCTATAGATACGCGTAACGTACAGTGTGTGTTTTATTTTCTATTTCGGTACCGTTTTATTGAGGGAACTGTTCGTTTATTTATTATGAATTCGTTTCTAATTTTCGTCTCGTAATAAAAGTGGCAGCGTTACCAACACATTCGCAACACTTGATGCTGGCATATGTACATACACATGCACATGTATATAATTTTGACTTTTCACAGCAAAAAGTGAAATTCGCTACAAGTTTCCCTTGAGGCTTTAACTAAACGTATGTACATAACAATATTAGCATAGATAGCTTCCAAAATTACATCATATCTGGATATTTCTGATGTATACACCTGTTTGCGTATGTATTGCTAAAAATATGTTTGCTGCACAACAGCATAAACACACCTATATTCATATATATATATATATATATATACTCTTGCTATACTCTCCGATTATAGCCCGACTACGTCATCTTCGAGGCAGTCGCAACATCTGTTTAGATCAAGCGCTTTACTCTGCCCTCAAATGTCTGACATTTCTGTTGTTTCTTAAATGAAATATTTTGATAGATTTATTCCTGTTATGATTTATATACATTTATAACTTGAAGGGAGCTCAAAAGCTTTGCTTGTAATGCTTCTTCTTACCTAATTTACGTGTAGCCCTCATCATGGGACTAGAGAATTAGTTATTCCCATGCATACATTTATATATATATGTATAACTTTTATTGCACAATTGCACGCCATGTGTAATTGTATGCATCAGAATTTCATTTGGGAAACTTAAGGATTATTTCGCTGACTTAAACTATTCTTGGATGACGTAGGCAGTTTTTAAGAGCTTCAATTGTTATTTTTATATAAAAGTGTTTGTGTCCTCTACTTTTGTGTTTATTCTTCTGCTTGATTTATGCAGTGTTGCCAATTTGGCTAGTTTCTAGCTAAATGTGGCTATGTTCAGCGTTCAGCCGGAAACAGCTGAAATTTTAAACCGTTTAAGTTATTGTTTAGCAACACTGTTTGTTTTCTTTATGACGTCACAGCTGCGAAATGAGGGCAATAAATGCTTGTTAGAAACTTCTGCTATAAATAGAATTATATTGGCTGGCCTTTGTCGTAATTATGGGTTCATTTAGAGTCAATAACAAAAGAATAAACAAAGCAAAGTCAAGCCTAACAAAACTCAAATTGCGAAATTGCGTCTTCGCCTAATGACATTAACACATTCTAATGAATTGAATAAGCTTCGGAGCTGATGATGTGGGCTCATTTTGTAGTTGCCCGGGCTGCGCTGATTGCTTAAATACCCTTTAATCGTCAACCAGTTGATGGAATTTCCATTCTGCTCGTGCGCGCCCAGTTGATTTGATTTTGCTAAGCCCCAGATCACAATACTTCCGGTTGCGGTCGCTTGCTATTCGGTTTCTGAGCGCCCACTTGCCAGTCCGCTGCCTCTGTTTGGTTTGGGGAAAGCGGCATTCCCGCAGCTCTGTTTGGCAATGGAGAATCGTTCCATGTGATTGCTTTTGTTGTCAACTTCCCATCAGATTTAGGTGCTTATATTAATGACCCGCAGGCCAGGCACCTATACGTAATTATCAATATGCAATATGTTTTTTTTACTTAATTGTGGGTATGTTTGCGTTTCTTATCAGCGCAACAAGTACTTGACGATGTGGCTAATTGATATAGCCGCGTGTCAGTAAAGCAAACAAATTGACAAACTCATCATATGGCCATGTATATAGTTGCATGTATATAGATATATATTTTTAACATTGTGTGTCGTCAATGGAAATTTCAATTAAAATTGTCACATGAATTGCTTAAAGCCCAATGAAAAGCGTTCAATTAGAACATAATGGTTCGTTATGTACCCTTATACTTTCAAGGCTCACATGACAAGTTTCAATCAGTTGCATTTTTAAATTAAAATAGCTTCAATTGCTTTACAAATCTAGAGCATATCCATCGTTCGTCTATGCCTGCTCTTTGAACAGGCTGAAACTATGCCAATTTATCGAGCTGTGAGCTTTGAGCACAAAAAATTGCCTTGCCTTGCTCTCTGTTGATGTTTCGTGTACATCATTTTGAAATGCGCCCCCATAAACATTCTCTGTGGCCCGCGGCATGAATCATCGACATGGGATATACTATTTTTAGTTAATATCTTGGGGATTTCGCAGGTTGCTAATTGTTTATTGTAAATTGCTAATTGACTTGTTGTTCTTGTAGCTCTTGTAGCTCTTTTAATCACGTGCATTTTTAGAACTATTTAGCGCTTAACAACATGAGCAAATCTACGGGCAATGCGCCACCATTCACATACGTTCCGCCGCCATCGGCACCGCCGTCATATCTGGAGGCGGTTGGCGGGGTGAAGCCAGTTGGTCCATATACGCCAGTTGCAGCGCCTGCAACCGTTGGGACAAACATATTGACCACTGTGGTACCCATTGGTCGCACCTCGACGCACATGATATGCCCCTCGTGTCATGCAGAGATTGAGTCGACGACACGCACAGAGCCGGGCATGATTGCCTATTTGTCCGGTTTTGTAATTGCATTGCTTGGGTAAGTGCGATTGGAATTCACTAATATATGGCTAACTGTTTCTAACTGAGCACCCTTTTTTAATACAGTTGCTGGCTGGGCTGCTGCTTGATACCTTGTTGCATTGACGACTGCATGGATGTGCATCACACGTGCCCCAATTGCAAGGCGTATTTGGGCCGTTATCGGCGATAAGTTATTGCAACTGCAACTGCTGCCATGCACACAGTGACACAGATATACATACGGAGGGAGAAGAAGTGTTTAATTTAAGCGAGTGTTTTGCCTTTTTATTTAATTGTAATAATAACACTTGTATTTCACGGTCGTGGGGAATGCAAGGGCTTATCTCTAATCTTATGCTAATCCTTGCTAAACTGCTCAAGCTCCATGCACTTTATTGGTAACTTGATTATGTTTTAAAGTTTACCATTAATTTTCTCAAAATTGTAAGCCAGCATACATGATTTGCTGATTTAAATCCGAATAATGTTGTGAATATTTTAGTTATGTAAATTCACAATCGGAACACATATGTTGGACAGTCTCTAACCGAATATCGAATCTTAATATTTATGTAAATATTTGTCCGGAAAATTGTTGTGCTTCGAAGATAAATGAAAGAAATCCTGCAATGTCATCCCAAATTCAAGTTCAGTTTGTTTTTTCTTTTTTTGAGAATTGACTGGTATAACAATTAAACATATATAAATGTAGAAATTCATTTTCCAATGCTGCAGATACAATACATATTAATTTTATGAAAAGACAGCAAATGTACAAATATTTTTGTAGTGTACTTGAGAATGTCTTCATGCGAAACTGCACACTTTATACCATTTAAGGCATATGCATATTTGTTTATCAACCGATCAATAATAACCATGTACTATGTCTTCTAATTTTTTAATAATAAAATCTAAAAAATAAATATGTAGAAAACCCGACTTCATGTCCCAAAAAAATGGTGGATGGTTCGGTTCGCGGTTCGAACCGGCTGCCCGCCTGTTTGGCTTGTCATGAATTTTGTTAATTTTAATGAAACAATTTAATTTTGTTAAATAAGCAGTATATGTTTACTTGTACAAGATCCGGGTCGAATTTTATTCCAATCTACAATATTTCTCAGCAAATATGTTAATAGGCAATAGTCAGAAGGGATCAAAGGTGTATAATAAGTTTAACAAAACTACTTTTTTTTATATAAACTGTAGTTTTATTGTTATTTTGCCAAATGGCCTTCTTTAGGCTAAGGTTCACTGTACAAAACAAATTGCAATTCTTAGCTGGAACTGGGAATATGCCTTGTCTGCAGTAAGCATATGAAGATGTCATGAAGAAATTAGAGAATCAGCTTTAATATGACATTTAGTTTTTGGGTTTTTCTCTAGATGTGGAATCCATCCATTTTGTTATTCCCTCAATCAATTTTGGTAATCTCCAAAACTTTCGCCCGAATACCCGATAGAAACTCAAGAAATTTTCATGTTTTCTATTTATAAATTGTATTCTTTGTATAATTGTAGTTCGTTAGTTTTGCATAACATACTCTTCTTTTAACATGTTGTCATATTCTTTATCTCGATCTATATGTTCAGATAACATTGTACACCACGCACATACTCTTGATTTGAAATACATGGTATATAGTATATTATATATTATGTAAATAATCATTAAATACGTTACACTGTTCTTTGTCTCGCATGCTGTTAACATTTCTTGTGGTGTACTTAATTTGTTTGTTTATTAATATTAGTTATATTTATTTTTAACATGATTTACATACAAAGATATTGCGTGGAATTTTCCGTTTGTATTTGTTTTTCTTTTTTATTTGTTTGCTATTACAGAAAATCGTAATAAACTCTGAAGAACGGAAAATACGCTCGTCGTTGCCATTTGTAAAAACTTAAATATACAAAAATTATATATGCTATAACTAACCATATACAACGTATGTATATATATATATATATATATATATGTATGTCTATATGTATATACGTTTGCTTTACATGAATGCGCGTGTGTTGTGTATAAACAGTTTCAGTTAATAATATAGTATGGATTTATTCATTCATTTTTAATGCATTTGAATTGTTAACATTGTTCACCATTTTTTGTTTTCTTTTGTTTTGTATATGTGTTAATGTACTTGTTTGCTTTAATTGTTTATTTCATTAACTGTTTATTTATATATTTATGAATGCGTAACGCCTTAAGGTAATATTTTAGTTGCTTCTTGATAGGTTGATATTTAAAGTGTGCGCACATCAAACCTAAAGTTAAACAAATTACAAAAAACACAAGAACCGACCAAAGTATTAGGCTAAATAATACTCTCCCCCGCTGCCAGATCGCCTTGGATAATGCCGAATTAAAAGCTGAAGCACAATTACAATTACTTGGCTATTTACAGGGTATACGCCGTCTAATGACCGCAGCTGAGTTTAAACAATGGCCACGCCATTGGAATTGGCTGTCGCCTTGGCTGTCTTCACCAAGCACGACTGTGAGCTGTTGCCCATGCTCGAGCCGTCCAAGCTGTCCAGATCGAGCGCAGTGTCAATCATTGTTGTGTCGTGCAGCATGCGCAGCCTGTCCGCGGACTTGGCCTGCTCGACGCCATCGCCTGATGACATGCGTTGGCCATGCCCATGGCCACCGCCGCCCACAAACGAAGCGCTCACCGGATCGTCCAGGTCGAGATCGTCACTGAGCAGCGTCGAGGATAGCACAGCGGTCGCCTGGAGCTGTTCGCTGTGCTGTTGCTGCTGCTGCTGCTGCTGCCGCTGCTGCTGAGCTTGTTCGTCGATAATGTTTGAATAGACGTGCAGGGCGGTATCTGTGGACGGCGAGACCGCCACTTGGGGCACATTGCTATACATGTTCTCTGTCTGTGATACGGACTTGGCCAGCGCATGCTGGTCCCCGCTCATGGCAGCTGCCAGTAGAGCAGCGCCCGCAGAGGCCTTGTGGTTGTCGCCCAGGGGCGAGTTGACCAGCGCCGCGTCAAAGTCGACGTCGAACAGATTGCTGTAGCTGCCGCTGCGATTGCGGTTGCGCATCTCACGCGCCTTGCTGGAGGCCGCAATGGCAGCCACCGCAGCAACAACCTCCGTGCCGCCGACCACAACGACATCCGCATTGTCCAGCTCATCCTCGCTGCCGGCTGCGGCCAGTTGATTCTCATAGGCCAAATCAGCGACTGCTGAGGCGCCATTGGACAGCTGGCGCTGCTTGTGGTGCCGGAACTGACGTGTTTGTGTGGCCGTCGGCTGTGTGTAGGCTGGCATGTCCATCTGGGCCAAAGGTATCTCGTTGTCAACGAGCTGGGCTAGACTATTGGAATTACCTGCGAACGAGATATTGAAACGTTGCGCGTGGGCGCACGATTAGTGCAAAATTATTCTTGTTTCCCTTTTTTCTTTGGTTTTTTTTTTTTTTTATATATATGGCATATAAATTGCATACATAATTAATGTGAAACATTTAAAATGTTAAAACTCTCATTACAGCAAATTCGACAACTAATTAAAAATTCGTATTGTAATTTTTGGAATAGTTTTCGCTAGTGTATACTGTGGGCGTGGTTTGTGGTTCGTTTCTATTTTTTTTTGTGGTGGTGGTTAACTGCTGGTTTTACAAACTATTTAAATATGCAAACAATTGTAAATGCTGAAAAGGCGGCGAATTAAAAATTAAACAGTTTATAACCAATGCACAAAACAACTCAAACAAATTAAATTATATGATGAGCCCGGCGAAGTTGAATCCCTGTTGGCCACCTGGGTATAAACATAATTAAGAATACATAATTCAATTTGATAATCGCTTAAATCAATAAATAGCCAATGGCAACAATGATAGGGTATTAATTGATGAGCTATGATTTGTGTTTATTTTGAATGTTTTTTTTTTTTTTTTTTTTTGGATTTGATTTTGTTTTTGTTTTTGTAACCGATATGAATTTTGTATGCGGTGCCAATTGAAATAGATGAAACAATTCGAAAACATGCTTCAACAATTATTTATAGAGTTTTCAATATGCCAATATTTAAAATGCACACATATAAAATGAAAAATTGATTGCTAAAGAATGTACCATGAAAAATCGCGGGCAGTCGAGATCTGTGTAGAGGTCTGTCTTAACGATATGCGCAATGTTGTTGGGCTTGTATTGTTTTGTTTTGTTTTGTTTTGTTTTTAAACCAAATCATAAACAATTCTTGTGAATTGGGGCTTTTTGTAAAAGAAGAGAGAAAAGGCTAAGCAACAAAAAGACAGCTTGAAAATTATATATTTTTTACAGGGTATTCGAACGCTTTTTGTTTACAAGTATCTTTAGCTAATTGCGCTACACAAAAAGAAAAAGAGACAAAGATCCGTAATACACTTAGCAAAATCTTTGCTTTTCAAATAAATGTCGTAAGCGTTGTTAATTGAATTTTAGTTATTACCATTACATAAATACAACAGAAAAAGGGTTTTGTATTTTATTTTATTTACTTATTTTTTTTGTTTGTTTTTTATTTATTACTTTTGTGTTGTGGAGGCAACTCACCCAATTGAGGCATATAGCATGAGGCATTTATGTTTTACTCTAGTTTTAAGCGGCCCTCGAAAGCTTTCACTCAATTGCATTTAGTTTTAGTTGCAATTTTGATTTGTTTGCAATTTGTTATTTGTTTTTGAGTTGATAAATATCAAGACACAAAAAGTTTTATGGTTCGATTTTTGTTTTTGTTTTTTTCCCGTAGAGTCACAAGTTGTATTGAAAGACATAAAAAAAGAGTTTGGCATTAGTGTATGGGTGTGTGTATGTGCATAACCAAGAGAAAATCATGTATTTGCAATCTATTGTTCGGTATTTCGGGTACTCGGGTTGAATAGAATAAGGAAAGTGCGTCTGCTTGTGTACGGCGCGCCGGCAATTTGAATTCATGCGAAATGATATCACGCTTAATGGAAACTCAAACATGGCGGCGATTGGCAGCGAAGTGGGAGGAAGAAGAAGCGCGAAGAACTTTATAAAATGGCGTCCCACTGTGCATTACAGTTAGCCACGTTGTGTGGCTGAGTGTTTGTTTGTGTGTTATTTTACGTGTATGTGTACGTGTGTGTGCATGTGTGTGCGTGCGTGTGTGTGTGTTGTCTTGTGTGTATATACTTGATCTTAACACTTGATCGCAACATTCTTCTCACATAAATATAAACTTGCATCCAGTTAAATGAAAGTTGTAGGTTTGCTCTTCTATCGCTTTTGTATCTTCCGTGGGAAAAATATGCGATTATGGCAAAGCAATTCGCCTCGGAAATTTGAAAGCGTGATTGAACTTTTCAGGGTTTTACAAAGGCCTTCAGTTTGGACTTGTTAAATAAATGCTATGCCAGATGCACGCTTTGTAAAGTAAAATGGTGGCTTAAAGGGAAAACCAATTCATTAACAAACATTTGTTTAGCCACATTCACGCCTTAGATTTTATTATTATTGTGGCTAAATTTTGATTCCAAGCCTTCTTTCTGACGTTGAAAACATTTGCAATGAAGTTTGCACAGTGCGCACACAAAGTTAATCTCACCGCTAAGTGTATACATAGATAGTAGTTGATTGTATATGGGTGTATTTGTGTGTGTGTGTATGTGTAT